TTGACTTTGAGGTCACCAGGTCAAAGGTCAAGGTCACAGGGGCCTTGACTTCAAAAAGCTTGTCCGCTCTATAACTTAACATTCCTTTGACCCACAGTCTTCATGTTTGGCATGGAGGTAAGTCATGATTAGTAGATGACCCCTATTGATTTTGAGGTCACCAGGTCAAAGGTCAAGGTCACAGGGACTTTGACTTCAAAAAGTTTGTCCACCCATTTACTTAAGATTCCTTTGACCCACAGTCTTCATATTTGGCATGGATGTTGATCATGACTATAAGGTGACCCCTATTGACTTTGAGGTCACTGGTCGAAGGTCAAGGTCACAGGGACCTTGACAAAAAAAAGCTTTTTCTTCTCAATTGCTAAAGAATGTCCTGTCCGCAATGTATTGATTTTGACATTTTCACATTTGAAGCTTGTAGAATACATAACTTAGCAATGCACTGGCTTAGTAACCTCAGATTTGGCAGGGAGGTTGTCCTTGAGCTCTAAATGGCCACTGTTGATTCTGACAAAGTGGTATGCGGGGGTATTCACGCCAAGATAGTGGCAGTTCTAGTTATTATTATTATTATTATCATCATCATCTAATATTATTATTATTATCACTATTATTATCATCATCATCATAAGTATTATTATTATTATTATGTCCCAGCCTTAATATTGTTAATGCTAAATGCTTTATTACACAAACGGTATCTAGGCATATCACGCGTTTTCAAAACAGCCAATGAGTTTAAAGCGTTGGTTTTGTATCACGTGAATCCTATAAACCAATCAGAAATAGCGCGGGCGAAATGAAAAAAGAAAACTCGGGATTGGAAATGGATAGTGAATAAAATTCAGAATATTGCAAAACAAGGTAAGTTAAAATTTATTTTTTATCGTTGCAATATCAAAATAGGTAGTTGTCACCCTTAGAACATGGCGCACGTGTAATTTTCTGCTCTAATATTTTCAAAATGGGAATTGATATAGGACTTTATCGCATTCGAATTGGATTGTTTTTATGCCGATTAAGAAAGGATGTAAACTGCGTGTTTTATTTGTGAGTCGGCAAAGTGTTAGTGTGTGTTTGAGACTTGCTATCTTTCTCTCTGTGCTAACCATACTGGGTGGGGATGTTGAGCTGAACCCTGGACCGCCCAAACAACAGAAACAACGGATATTATCTTTTCCAGAGGTCTCCGCCGCAGAAACGCCACCACCACCCCCGTCCCGAAGTACAACACGAGCCTGTGCTAACAGGGCAAATGATTATGAGGTAATGGCTTTCTTACGTGAAATGAAATCTGAGATGAAGACTGATTTATCGAGCATTAACAGCAAAATTGATGATATAAATAAAAAGTTAACGTGCTTAAAAGTGCAAATGTAAAGTTACGCCAAGAAAATGTATGTATGAAGCAGGAACTTTCTAATCTGTCTGTGAAGTTAGACAGGCTCGAGGGACATTCACGTAGAAATAATTTACGATTTCTTGGTATTGAAGGCCGTTTTTCTCAGAGCTGGGATGAAAGTGAACGGAAGGTACGAAACTTTATTTTTAATACACTTAACCTAACTGAATTGGCAAATGTTGACATTGAAAGGGCCCATAGAGTAGGCAGTAGACGATCGGACAGTTGCCCCATTATAGCGAAGTTTAGCAAATACAAGGACCGAGAATGTGTATTGCGTGCGGCTCGTCAAAGTCTTAACTCGTAATCGCAGTATTCAGTGCGTGAAGATTACACAGAGCGTGTACAATTACACAGGCGAGAACTGACCAAAACATTAGTTGAGGCCAGAAACCAGGGCAATATGCATCACTTCGCTTCGATAAGCTCATTGTTGACGGTGACATGTACAAATATAACGACATAGACAATACAGTCGAACGGATTGGTAGTTCGAGATCACGTGGTCGTGTTGGCGCGAACAACATATTGCAGCGATTGGACGCTAGTTGCGGGAATGATGACGCAGATACCCGTGCCTCTCAAGGTCAAAATAACTACAACAGTAGTAACACATCTTCGCGTGGACGTGTGAGTAACAGACTATTAGCTAGTGAAGCATATACTCAACCAATCGACGGCAAGGATCATGAAGCGGACGACAGTGACCGTGACCTCTAGGGAATCGGCCAAGGCCAAATAAACAATAAAACCGATGTAAATATTATCACATGGAATGTGTGCGGTCTTTATAAATTTATTGACAATTTAGAAGTTAAGTCTTTTTTAAGTAATTATGACATTATAGTCCTTTGTTAAACATGGAGTAAATTTAAGGGTGAATTTGACAATTTTATTAATTGTTATGTACATTTTGACTTTGTTTGTAATATGAAATTTAACTCCATAAGGAATAGTGGAGGTGTTAGCGTTTTTATTTAAAGTAATCTTGCAAAACTAAATATCATTCGTCGCTTATATGATGAATATGACAATTGTGTAGTATTATATTTTGAGTTATCTACATTGTTTACTTGTGAAGATATTATTATGTATTTAACATATATATCACCAGAAGGCTCATGTTATTATGATGATAAAGAACAAAAAAATGGTATGCAGTCAAACATAGAATGTATATTTACTGAACACCCAAATACGTCTTTATTTATTGCTGGAGATTTAAATAGTAGGTGCAAAGACTTTTTAGATTATATACCTGATGATAATTTGTTTCATATTTTTGGTACTGTTGATTATGATGGTAGTTATTTTAACACTCCACGTCGCAGTCAAGATAGTATACGAGGAAATAACTATGGCAAGTTTTTAGTTAATCTATGTTGTTTATTCGATATTCATATATTGAATGGAAGGTTTGAAGGTGATATTGATGGCAATTTTACCTGCTTTTCTAATGATGGTGCTAGTTTGGTAGACTACATGATAACCTCCACGAATTTATTTCCTTACATTAGAAATTTATTTGTCTTAGATGATTCGGATCATTTCCCCCTATCATGTGAATTAACATTGATTAAAAAGCCTGTGCCTAATATGCGTGGTAATGACGTTGAAACTTTAACTCCCATTAAAAGGTATAAATGGAATCAGTCTCACATGCTAAAGTTTATTGATAATTTTAAAAGTACTTTGCAAAATACATCTCATTCTTTGAGTAATACGGTTTGTAATGATGTTTACAGAGGTGTTAAGGCAATAACTTCATTATACCACGAAGCTGGTCAGTGTATGTTAGTCAAAAATATGTGCGGACGCTTCTCTTCACAACCTCCATGGTGGAATTCTACTTGCGACAATCTTAAATATATTAAATATCGAGCGCTTAGGAAATTTAGAGAATCTAATTCACTGTTGGATGTCAGAATATTTAAAGATAAGCACAATGAATTTAAGAATTATTGTCGCATTATGCTTTTGCAATACAAATTTTCAAATAGAAGTATGTTACTTGCTAGTAGTAATGATCCAAGTTCTTTTTGGAAAATTCTTAAGAGAGGTAAAACTTCAAGAGCTCTAGATATTAGTATCTCCCCATCTGAGTGGTATCAATACTTTGCAGGACTTCTTTATGATGAAAATGCTGTTGCTGTTGATCAACCTTCTGATAATTATATTGACCCTTCTGCAAGTGTTCTTAATGAACCATTTACTTTAGATGATGTGCTCAGATCTATAGCAAACTTGTCTGTTGGTAAATGTAGTGGCATCGATGGTATTCCGGCTGAAATTTTTAAGACTACTATGGATGATATAGCTCCAATGTTTTTAACATTGTTTAATCATATATTTTTAACTGGTAATATTCGAGGTCGTCGGCTATAACTCATGTTTACAAGTCTGGACCAAGTAACATTCCTGGAAATTACATAAATAGCCTTCGAATAGTTAATTCGGGTTATGTTTAACCTCAAGCAGTCCGCTTTTCTACCCACATAATCACGTCCGTGAGTTTTTACTACGAATATTTTCCCTCGTGCTGGACACACATTCAACCGTCGAAAGAAGCTCTATCAGAGTACAAACTTCCAGTAAGAATTCCTGTACATGGTTAATTAAATATATTTAAGATAAAGATTTGTGTATAACAAAGCATATAACGGCTTGGTTTTCATTTAGATGTATTTTTCATCTTTATTGTAAGTAACCCATTACAACAGTCACTAAGAAGGATAGGTTATGTTTTAAACAGTGCATACGTGCATACGTGCATGAATTTTCTACGAAAAACCGTTAGGGGATATTTTACTGATTACGTTACCGAATTCATCTCTATAAGAAAGTGACCGATAGTGAAACATTCGATGATGCACATGAGAGTGGCATATCTGTATGAGAAATGAACATAATCTGATATTGTAGTAAAACCTATCATTTAGTGTATGTAACAATTTCAATTTTATTTACATTTTTGCAAATACATCTCGAAAAACTAAATTCAATGCCAGCACTATTGATAATTAGTGTGACCCGCAATTGTATTATTGTGTAAACTTTTTAATATCAGGCATTTACATTGAATAGGCGGTGCAGGGTTCAAAACAATTAAGATGAAGCTAAAACATGATTATTTGACTTAATAGCTATTTACTTGATTTTATTCAATCAAAACTTCTCGGCCCTTTCTGTCAGCCTTCGGATAAGGACCTCGAACACAATAGTAGGAATACACAGAACGGCTCGGTATTTCGGTCTAACGTACGCTGATAAAAAAAACATGTAAACACATGATAATTTAATGCAAGGAGTTATTGACAAGATTTTTTTCCAATATACCAAGAAAAGGTCCACCTTATGTAAGTTAATTCTAGAATGTTAACGTTAACAATGTATTATGTATATTTTATGAGCCCTTTGTAGTAACCGAAAATACAAAATGCCAAACTGTTGTCATTTAGTCGGATTTGTTTATTATTGAACCTCAGTGGGAATATTTCAATTATAAAATGGTTGCCAGACACCTTAAACACGGTAAAATTTGCCAATTGATATCTTATTCCACAGTTTGTTTCTTGAAAGGAAGTTAATGGTATGGAAAGTCAACAGTATTTATGGAATATCAATAATTGCAATTTCGACAGCACATTTAAATCACAGTAGCATGAATACGAACAAGCACGGATGCATGTTAGAAATGATCAACTGTCCCTATTTCATATAAATGCATTTAAATCTAATTAGGCGTTAAATATTAATTGTGTAAAATTGTCATTTTAAAAACATTCAGCTGTCGTAAAGTATCGGTATTTTTTTTTTCATTTCAAGAGATTTATATCAGAAACTATGAGAGGAAACATAGTAATACTACCGTTTGTTGGAGCTTGTGCGATAATTTATTGTTTTATTACCTACAATACGGATTCCGTGAGGAGTTGCAATGAAGACTGGACGGAACTTAACGTGAATGACGAAAGTGCTCTGAGAAAAGTTGTTGAAGTGTGTTTAGAAAATAAAGAAGGTTCTTACACATCAAATTGCCAAATACCGCTTAGATATTTAAGTGTCGCTAAACCACTGGTTGCTCTTGCCAGTTTTCCAGGCTCAGGAAACACGTGGACACGGACATTACTTGAAACCGCAACAGGTATTTTTTAAAATCAAGTAAAAAGCTATTAAGCTTCCCCCAAGACTGTCGTCAAATAATCATGTTTTAGCTTCATCTTAATTGTTTTGAACCCTGCACCGCCTATTCAATGTAAATGCCTGATATTGAAAAGTTTACACAATAATACAATTGCGGGTCATACTTATTATAAATAGTGCTGGTATTGAATTTAGCTTTTCGAGATGTATTTGCAAAAATGTAAAATAAAATTGAAATTGTTACATACACTTAATGATAGGTTTTACTACAATATCAGATTATGTTAATTTCTCATACAGATATGCCACTCTCATGTGCATCATCGAATGTTTCACTATCGGTCACTTTCTTATAGAGATGAATTCGGGAGCGTAATCAGTAAAATATTCCCCCAACGGTTCTTCGTAGAAAATTCATGCACGTATGCACTGTTTAAAACATTACCTATCCTTCTTAGAGAGTTTTGTAATGGGTTACTTACAATAAAGATGAACAATATAGCTAAATGAAAACCAGGCCGTTATGTGCTTTGTTATACACATTATATATCTTAATTATATTTAATTAACCATGTACAGGAATTCTTACTGGAAGTTTGTACTCTGATAGAGGTGCTTTCGACGGTTCAAAAATGTGTCCAGCACGAGGGAAAATATTCGTAGTAAAAACTCACGGACGTGATTATGTGGGTAGAAAAACGGACTGCATGAGGTTAAACATAACCCGAATTAACTATTCGAAGGCTATCTATATCATTCGAAATCCATACAATGCTCTTCTTGCTGATTTCAATCGGGTAATTCAGACGAGGAAACATGTAGTAAATCCTCAAATAGATCTGGCGCCCAAAGAAATGTTCAATACTAATGGTAAGAAAACTTTTTTTATTATTATTGTTATTATTATTATTGTTATTATTATTATTATTATTATTATTATTATTTTTATGATTATTATTATTTTAATAATAATAATAATTATTATTATTATTATCATTATACTCTTTTAAACAGGCTGCAACTGAAAAAAGAAAAAAATAAAGAAACGGTGATTTTATTCCTTAAGTTTTTTTGCATTTTGGAATGAGGATAACAGTGTAATTGGTCGCATAACTCGAAGCATATCTTTGAAACTGTTTAATTTCTTTGTTTTCTTTTGCTTAAGTGTGGAGAACGTTTGTTCGGTCATCTGCAGTACGCTGGAAGGATATGACAATTTACTGGTTGCGAAGAAGAGACATTCAGGTGTATATTTTGGTGTATGAAAAATTAGTGGAAAATGTTTTTCTTGAAATGATAAAATTGGCCAACTTTTTAAATTATGAAATACTATATACAAACGCACAATGCCTCTCAAGTAATATTACTAAAACATTCAAACGAATTAAGCCAAAATGGCTTTCAAAGGAAAGGCTGTTCAATGACAAAATGAAAAAACAATTAAATACGATGATACAGATTGTGAAGACAACGGTACTCAAAAAATATAATATTTCAGACACTCTAGATAGTTATATTTTACCATTAAGCAAATAATAAATGTTAAAAATGCATGAATACTGACAAATGGGTGTGTTGTTTTTAAAAACATTTGTTTTCTTTAAATTTTAATACTTTCTGAGAAGTTATGCAATTATTTGCATAAACTATTGAAACATATTTGCAAATGTCATGTAAGCTACAATTTAGAACAAAACGGTTTACACGTAGGTCTTGAGTGTTATTGAAGTCATAATATTACGTATATAATTATAAAGAAAACAATTCAACAAAATAGGTTGATACAAGTCGATAAGAAATAATTCCATTTACAAGAATAATGTTCAACATGTAATGTGTATCTATGTGTGATATTTTGCTTGTTTTAAGATCCAAGGTTTAGAGTGTTGACATTTGGTATAAAATATCTTATATTAGTCCGCTACTTAAGCTGTTCAAATTTTAAATTGGCCCAAACCAGGGGTATGGGTGAAATTTTTTCCTCATATGTATATAGTAAAAACTTAATTAATCCCTGAACATACATAAGTTAGGATTGAGATAATATCAAAAGGACATGTCGAACCTAAGTCCTATGGGCGCTACCTTAAAGGTCAAAGTCACAATTAGAGGTTGAAGGTACACGATCGACAGAACAATCATGTCAAACTGTAACCTTGTCATCCATTGAATGATTTTAGAATAACTTTGCAGAACTTTACTATGGTGTGTCACTTCTTCATAATCTCACAATTAAAGTTTACATGTACAGCTATATGTGTTCTGAAAGGTAATGTTATCATGCATGAACGGACTATAAATAACTAAGATGTATCTACCTAATTAAGACAAATTGTCGGGCCCAAGAACTATGTTTCTATCTACAAGGCGGTCAGGTCAATGTAACATATATAGTTTGAAGGTGCTTAATATCACAAGAAGAGTTTGAATGTACACATATTTGTTGACTGTTACTTTGTCACATATTAAAGGAAATAAATTAACTTGTCAGAAATGTCTACCAAATCAAAACAATGTGTATAATCTAAGGTCGATGTCATTACCTTAAAGATCAAGTTCACACTACGAGGTTGAAGGTACACAAAGCATCTGTAAAACTCAATAAACGTATATGAAGATGGTTATAACACAATACATATCGAAACTTTAAGAAGAAAAAAACATAATCTGTTAACATTAACCTGCATTTATGTTTTTTCTATAGCTACATATTCATTTTGTTCAGTACCAGGGCAGCGTTTTACTAACGTACTTACGCCGTAAATTTGCGTCAGTTATAACTTACGTATGATTTTTCTTTTGAAAAAGCGTTTTACCAAAAACTTGCGTAAGTAAGAATTTCGTAAGTTTTTACGTTAAGTTACGCTCAAAATTTGTTTGCTTAAAACTTACGTAAGTAAGACTGACATCATTTATGAATAATGGCAGAGCAGGAAAGCTAGAATTTTTTAGACGGATGAGATCGATAATATATCTTAATGGTGAGAGCGGCTCTAGAAAAGTAAAGTCGAAGTAAGAAAAGGATAATGTGGCTTTACAGACTTGTTAAAAGTTAAATTTAGTAAACGAATACGAATATGGAAGTCATTCTATCAACTTAAAGAAGAAATTATTTTAATTCTTCTCTAAAAATGTACTAGTATAACATACCGGCCTTAGTCGTGACTGACCTCGACCCAATGTATTATACATCAGTTATTAAGTGTTCTATATTATTTCACTTTCACGAGCTTTTGAAGCTGATTTATTGAGAATTTTATAAATGATATATAATACAAACTGAAACTCAGTAAATCTCATTTGTTTTATACTGTATCAAATAAATGAGGACGGAAAAGGAGAGTATTTCAAAATGATGATGAACTTTATATGTTCTTTAAATTGTATGACTTGCAAATGTACATAAAATTATCTGTTTCACTTAATACTATTTTACAAGGCAAATATTCAGATATCATTACTTAAAGAATTGCATTGATGACTTAAATGGTTAAAATCGTTTGTTTGTATGTTGCGTTTTTGTGTCATTTTTACGCATGTTTTTCGCAAGTTTAAGTTTAAAATGGTTAAAAATCAAATCAAGGTGTTTTATTTACTTGATAGGTATTAACTAGATAAATAAAGTAAAAATAAATAAATAGAAACAAAATAATTTAAAAAATGTAGGTTAAGTGAATAAGCTAGATATTTCATATAAAAATGAGAAAAAAATCAACATTTTCACTTGCGGACATTACAGATTTTTTTCACTTCTCAAAATAAACAAAAAAAGTTTAATATCTTCCATGATGAATCATATAGATTTTCTTTTCTACTTTATAAATGCATTTATTTAAAATCGAGAGAAACCCAATTGTGATGGATGGCGGTTGGCACAAAATGCCCAGCAGAATTCTACGAAATACCAGTAAAGCCTTTTTTAAAATGTTTTGTGGTCATCAAATATTATCAAAACGCTTCCTGATTGACTAATTGTTTACCTTCTTTGAAGAGTTACACACTAATTTAACGTAAGTTTAAAAAAAAAAATACGATCGTTTTGTGAAACATACTTACGATTAACGTAAGTTTAAACGTAAGCGTAATTTCTTAATAGAATATTGCGAAATTGCGCGCGCATTGAAATTATGACGTGGGTTATAAATAATAACATTTTTTTTGTTCTTGAACAAATTTTGTGAAATTTGTGTTTTCATTATTAATGTTTATTAAAAACAAAAACTTTTCTAAACTATATTATGTCAACTTAATTTAGTTGAAAATGATGATCTAATGCAGAGATAAAGTAGTTTATGTATGTCTGTTTGAGCTCTCACATATTTAAGAATTGTTCCATCACAAGACACAAAAATGACTAAATTCTTCAAAATTATTATGCCTCAACTTTGTGGGGGGATTAAGATAAGATTAAGTTGTGTGCGTGCGTCCGTGCGCATGCGCCTGAGTGCATTTTTATAGACACAAACATGCGTGTGGACACATTTTGCGTCATGGACATTTTAAAGTGGAATTACTAGCTGACATTGTGAAACAGTGGATATATTTTGTAATAGCATTAGATTAGCAAATTTTACATTTTACATTTGACTCACTGAATATCCGTGCAAATGTTTGTGGAACATTATTTTCTGCAGATGCTGTCTCAATGGTAACCTCAAGTAATTACTGATGACATGTCCCGTTATCTGTTTATATGTACCCCATTTGACACCTTATTAAATGATACAAATATTTAAACGTATCAAAAAATATCAATTGCAGTTTGGTTATATTTCACGCAGGTTTTATTTTCATTTAAAATGGAATTATTTGCATTGATACTAGTACCTGAATTTGATAAACAGTTCATTTTAAATGTGCAAATTTTTAATTTTGGCATTGTTTATAATATTTATATTGAATACTGCTTTTCTTGTTAAAATTTGGAATAGTCATTTCTTTCAGGTAAGAAAATATTGTACAAAAATCTGCATAAAAGGTGATCCTTGGAAGCATTAATCCCAAAAATATGAAAAGTGCAGACTCGGTATGATTGAGTCTGTACATGAGGGATAATGAATAAGTGTTCTTTAAATGATTAACTCACCTGACAAGTAGTTTTTATTTACTGTTAAAATCAAGTGTGTGTATGTCCGATCACAATGATATATCGTTTAATATTCACATAGATTTTTAATTTGTTTGATTTGTATTATGAAAGTTTTTCATTTACAACTTTACTTTTGTAAATTTACAGACATAAGATAAGACATTATTACAGGTTGCATTAAAATTCAAAACAGCAGGTTAAAATAAATAAGTCTGCGTATTATTTGATTAAATGTATCAGTATGGTAAGATTCAGAACAATAATTTGATGATTTTCAAAATTTAACAAAAAATTCAAAATCATCATAACAAAGGTGTAACTCACTCCATTACCTTTGTAGATATAATAAATAAATCAATAAAACATCTTGTTATAAGCTGCGGATTTTAGTATAAAACTAAAAGCAGCAAATTCCACATTGAATATCTGTAAATTTACGGATTGACAAATCCTAAAGTTTCTACACTGTCTATAAATTTGCGGACAGTCCATAAATATCATGAAATCCTAGACATGTTAATCATGATAAATTGAATATATGGCTGTTGTCATGATGGAGATTGTTCTATCTGATTTGCTCCAAAAGATGATAAATAAAAACAAACTTTTCTTAATTTTCGATGTAAAAATGTTCATAATTATATATAGAATGATAGAAAATGTTACAAACTCAACTGTAATAAATTCAATACTATCAAACGATAATAAACAAAGAAAAGTGCAAATAATCAGTATGCAACAGACATTAACACTGATTAATTTACTTTGCAAGCTAGCATCACATTACATTCATTTCTTTATAACTTCATTTGATAAGACAGTCTTTGTTTATAGTTGGTTATTAAAAACATAATATTATAAACATTAGCTAAATAAGCTATTTTCTGACACAACAGACTCCTTATAAGTTTAACAATGCAAACAAACAACCTATATAAAAGAAAAATTATATAAAAGGATTAAGAAGGTAAATGTACATTTATGAGTGAATCTGTCAAACAAATTAGATGTTTATAATAGGGCTGCCATTGGAAATTGTATCATCAATATTCATCATCCGATATGATATCGGTACACATTTTCTGATATCGATACAAGCTAAATTTATTTATTCCTTTTAGTAAATATGTTACTCTAAATTTTGCCTAATAAGAGAAGTCATTTTTTACAGTTTTATAGGCTAACTTGAACTTTAAACCCTGTTTTTAAATGTCATTTACAAAACAACACAAAAAAGAAACTTTCTGTTAGTTTGTAGTATTTGCAGTCTTAATACAAGCATGCATAACTCCATGATCCCGATTTATAACATATATATATATATATTTCATTGTATCTACTGTTAAAGTTGATATATCGATATATGGTCGATACTTGTCTCTCGATATATCTATACAAAATTGTCTGTCAATGGCAGCCCTTATTTATAATAACACATTCAGTAGTAAGGATGAGATAATATTAATT